AGAAAAAAAAAAAAAAAAAGAGAGATAGAAAAAAAAAAAAAATATATATATATATATATATATATATATATATATATATATATATATATATATATATATATATATATATATATATATATATATATATGACTCATTATGTCATATTTTTGCTTGTTGAAAATGTTCAACTCTTCAGTTGATTCAGCTGTTTTGGAGTAACCAAACTAACCAGATTAATCTAAAAAAAAAAAAAAAAAAAAAAGAATGTCCGAGTTGTTTTGGCAGATATGTACTCCTTTAGTCTCTACCTGCAATACCCCTCATATAATATTTTACTTTAATTTATGGTGGCTGGATAGAAACAGAAGAAGTGACCCTCCTCCAACCTGAACATGAAGCCATCATGACACACAGAGAGTTCAGCTCCTCTGAAGCTACGCTAACAGTTTGGGTGGCTGCATAGCTTTGCACAACGGCCAGGAAACAGGGGAAAGCTCCACAGAGGATTCCTAATTCAACCCCAGAGGTTCCAGGCTCTGCATTCTTATTCCGATTCAAGTATCCTGGAAAAGTGTCACCGAACGGCCCTGCTGGGACTTCGCGCCCCACAATCACGGCTGCTGAGTCTACGCTAATTGAGTGAGTGCGACACAGATGCTCCCCTTCTGGCTGGAGGGAGGGAGCAGAGTTCCCCACTTTTCTCCAGAAATAATCCTGATTGGTTTAAAAAGATGCACTGTATGAAGTGGAGAAACAACAGGACCCAAACAAAGAGACAGAATCGATTTTTATTACTGTTAAAGTCATCAAGTCAGTCAAGGAGTACATTACAGAGCTTTACAAAAAAGAAAATGCAGGACGGGAGCGGCGGGCGACCGCCGGTTCCTGGCAGAAACACCACATGAACAGTAACATCTGTTGGAGCATGAACACAGACACAGAGTGAAACGTGTTGGGGGGGAAAGCAGTGCTTCAGAGTGTAACAGTGTTTATTTAACATCAAACACATTTGACCGCTAACAAATGAAATATTTCTCTGATATTTCTCTGATTCAGGCTCTAAGGGATTATTTACCTGGCAAATATATTCACCACCTCCATCCTGGGAACTTATTCAGATTTTGTCACATTTCAGCCTTAAGATGGGTTTTTATGAGTCAGACTGACATAAAGTGTGTAATAGTTGTGAAGCTGTAATAAAATGTTCTTTGAACACCTCTGAGGCTTGTTGTTAGCTGAGAGAAAACTGTGAAGATGTTTAACCCAGAAAGGTCCACTGTTGTGATATTACATCATCTATATATTTTAACAAAAAAAAAAAACAACTAACAAATGTTTACTTTTCTTCTGTTTTTTTCCCTCCTAAACCTAGAGATTGAACCCTACAATGTTTCATAAAACCTTACAAAAGCAAAAATACTTTTCAGAAAACATATTTTCATCTCTAGCGTACTCCTACAAAACCATTTTCAAGGTTCTTCTATGTTTTTCTACATCTGGATCTTCCAGGGTTAAAACCAGAGAAGCAGCCGATAGGCCCCTTGGTGACTTTGGAGGAGCTGCACAGGTCTACAGCTCAGGTGGGAGGTTGAGAAGACTTAAAAATACACTTTAAGTGTGGAAAGAAGAAAGAGACAAATAATCCCATTTGAAATTTGTGACGCGCCATGAGGAAACCAGGGACAAGTCACCAGAGCAGAAGCAGAACAAAAACCCAACATAAAAATACTTACATTTCTAAGAAAATAATGATTTTCGTTTTACTGCTAAATCATAAATAACCCATCCTCTACTTTAAAAAGCAGATTCAGAGATATTAAAATGGTCAAATTTGTGTTTGGATTCAGAGTAAATCTGAGCTGTTTTGGAGTAAGCAAACAGCTGATTAACATACCGGGCATAATTGGGTATTCACACGTTTTCGGTTTCGGCCAATAAGATGAAAATTGAAGTTATTTACAGATTCACAAAGTGTGGAATCAATGCTTTCCAATAATGTTCCTGTCAAAACGCCTCCAAGGAGATTTGTTCCTGGTTTTATTGTGGTCAGTCACATTCGTCAAAGGCCGTGTAGAGGTCACGGCAAACATGGAGGGATGTGTCTCCATGGGTCACCGATGATGATTAACAGTTTTCCTGCAATGTTACGTTGTTTAGCAGCTATTAGCATGTACACGAGATTGATTGACAGCGCTAAGACCTTCCTCCGGGCTCTGATTGGTTGTTTTTGTCTGGGGAGGAGGAGGTTGATTTTTTTTCTTTTTCAAAGATTATCTGTCTCATAACATACTGTCATGGCATAATTTTTGTGAGTTCTTAGAAAATCCATTAAGTTTGAGTGAAGGTTAGGTATTTTGAGGACAACAAATGACAAAAAAAAGAAAAAATTCTCTCTATGTCTAATAAAGCACAATAAAGATTCTGATTTGATGTGAGAAAAAGTGAAAAAGTTCATGGGGTTTGAATATGTTTGCAAGGAACTGTTAGCATAACAAAATACACGGTGACATAATGACCAATCAGATTCAATACAATAAAAAAAGATGTTAAATAAACTGTAACTTGAGTATCTATCATTTAAAGCTAATAACAACAGTAGCCTGTTTAATTCAAAATTTACATTTTCATCAAAATTCAGATGTATGTACACTTTGAACAATCAAAGTGACTGTGTGTGTGCATGTGTGTGTGTATGTTTGTTTCTAATACCTTGTGAGGACCAGTTTCCTGACACATACAACGTTGTGGGGACACACTGCTCCTTGTGGGGACCGAAGCTGTTTTTGGGGCAGGGGGCAGATTTAGGACTAAGGTGTGAATTGAGTTTTGGTTAGGACAGGGATAAGATTTAGGCTGTAGAAATGAATGGAAGTCAATGGAAAGTCCCCACAAAGTTATCCATGCAAACATGCATGCGTGTGTGTGTGTGTCATCACCTATTGGATATAAATGAAGAAATCTGATCATTGTACTGACAGGCTGCTCTCTTTCTGTGGCCGATGGGGGGAAAAAACATTTTCAGTGTGTGTCAGAACAGGCCACCCACACAGCCACCTACACACACACACACACACACACACACACACACACACACACACACACACACACACACACACGGACGCACATTTATCTGACATCAACCTTATGCCGGAGGCTGTGTGTGTCGGTGACAGTGCTGACAGTCGGGGAGGACCACAGACTTCTGCTAAAGGTTATGTGGACTGGATCGAAAATGACACAAAGAATCACAGTTTCTGCAGCCAGTCAGATATTGCTCCTTTTTTTTATTCTCTTTGTGGTGTGATCACAGAGATCTGGACCTGTTGCTCTGTATTATTAATGCTTGACTGCACTAAAGACAGGAAAACATGGTTCTTATTACTGTTCATCAAGAATAAACTGAAAATAAGTTGAAATAAACTAAACACACAGTGTCCCTCACAAGTTAATAAGTACCCATTGTAAAGATAAAATATCACATGGGCAAATTTATATATATAAAAAAACCATTTGAAAATGAATAAGAAAAACTAAGAGAAAAAATATTGGAAAACAAATAAACAAATGAAATTAAAAAGAAAAATGTTAGAAAATAAATACATCTAAACAAAGAAAACTACACAAAAATAAATGTTACTAAAATTCATTTTAAAAAACAATTGGGAAATAAATAAAATTAGGACAAAATCATATAAATAAAAACGGAAAAAAAACATTAGAAAATAAATTAATTAAATTTAAAGAAAAAATAGAAAATAAGTAAATTACATTTTCTACAATTATTGAACTTCTCTCTTATTAAAACAAAGAAAGAAATAGAAAATAAACAAACTAATAAGTAAATAAAATTGAAGAAACAAAAAGAAAACAGAGAGAGAGAAAATGTATGTGTATATATATATATATATATATATATATATATATATATATATATATATATATATATATATATATATATATACATATATATATTTTTTTTTTTACACAATGTTTTTAACAAAAGCACAGGTCTCTCACTCATTGGTGGTTAAAGAGGTGGACAAAAATATCCCAAGATCACCGTTAGAGAATTAGAGAGACATTTTTATAAGCAAAATGTTAAATATAAAACCGGTGGCTTCCACTAAATACCTAAAGGTGGGTCATGTTCAGCAGGACAAAGTGTTAAAATGTGGCCTGGTCAACCCAGAAATGGTTCAACACACATAAAGTCTTCACAGTTCACCCCACATCACTGTCGGGTGAGCTGAGGAGAAGAGATCATACTGAAGGAAGATCTCTCTCCATCTGTGCCGACCTTTGAAATGTGAAAAACACTCCGAACCATCCGGTTGGAGCTGCAGAAAGTCTGCGAAATGCTGCGGCAATGCTAATTACGTATTTTTATTTAAGGCTTTTTGCACACCTTTACCAGGACTACCATAAGTGGGAGGGCACTGTAGATAAAACAAAAATGATAATAAAGTGAGACAAATAAAAAGAAAAACCTCAATGAAAAAACCCTTCCCTCACATTCACCTGGTTAATGCTTTTTTTTATTATTATTATGTTTTTTTTAAAGAAATTATTTTACAGTTTCAGCCAAATATTAAGACATGTGCGGCTTTTTTTTATACAGCATCAGAGCACAAATGTCAGGATCAAGTAAAAGCAACGAGGCAAGCAGAGATCTGGCAGAAGAAAAACGGCTGACATCGGCTTATTGAAGGCGTCGGGATGTGGCGAGTTCAGGAAAATAAACAGCTACTGATCATTTTGATGCCAAAGAACTGCTATGCATTAGGAACCGTGCTGGTCCTGCTGTGACCACATGGGGGCGGTAATGTGCCACAGCGCGCTCTATGGATGAAGCTTTCGCGGTAGACGGAGTCGGCAACAACGTAGCTCTCTCTACTAAGTGGGAAACGATGCATGCTGTTCTTAGCTACTTCTACAAAGGTCTCTATGTACAGGCTCTTTACATTTAACAGCCAGGAGATTCTTTCCTGAGCACGGGAGCAAAGGAAACATGGTGTCTGTGAGCTTATATGCGAAGCTGCCTTGTTCAAAGGTACAGAACCGGTTTAAGAACTCGCAGCTGCCAGTCTGAGCTTCCGGTGCTCAGTGGACAATAACAGGAAGCGAAGACGCTGAAGGAATAGACAGGTACAAGCATTTCTCATTTGGAAGGAAAGCACACATTATGCCATGAAGAAATATTCACACCCTTTGATCATTTTCTCCAATTGGAAACAAGTGGAGCTAAACTGTGACCAATAAGTTTGTTTGATATTTTTTTCCCAACTTGAAAAAAATGTATTTGAAAACTGAAAACAAAGTTTTGAACATGAAAAAAAAAATGCTTTTGGAACTGACAAAAAAGTTCAAAATTACTTTTCAGATTAAATATTTTTATCTGTCAATTTCAGTTATTATTATTATTATTATTATTATTATTATTATTATTTAAACCAACTTTATGGCCCCAATATAGCTCCATACAAACACAAGTTGGGATTTTGTTTGGGATTTCATGGAGCAGAAAAAATTACGTCATCAATAGAAAGTTCAGACTACACAAGGCTTAAAACTGGAGCCAAATTCAAGTTTCAGCAGAAAAATGACCCTCAACATAGTCAGAGCTACGAGAGAGTAGTTCAGAACAAAGCCTATCCATGTGTTTGAATGGTCTAGTCAAAGTACAAACCTGTATCCAATTAAGAATCAGCTGAACTGAATGTTGACAGATGCTCTTTAGTCAGGCTGACTGAGCTTTAGCAGATTTTCGATGTAGATATTTTGAAAGCCATAATCACTTAGTAATGCATTATTTCTCTCTGATTTATCAAATAAAATCTACTGCAATTTGTGATGATGAGGATCTGGAACGGTTCGAGGGTATGGATGTTTTTCCAGGTGCAGTACCTTCCTCCGTGTGTGTTGTTGATTAGTACGGTGGCCTACAGGGGACCGTTTCTGCAATTGCCCCCTTGTTGGCTTATTAAGCGCTAATCAAAATCAGTTTTAGTACAACGTCACTCATTTATTTACACTCAATACGATTTGTAATGGCAGGCTTTAGGTGTGAGCCAACGGCTAGACAGATGAACCTGTTTGACTCTCTGAAGCTCAAGTTTGAGACAGATTTGATTATTTAACAAGAAAGCGCTATACAGGTTAGAAAAAACAGAAAGGCAGCACTCAGGGAAGGTAGCACACAGCCTTCATGAGATGATGCTAATGCTGCAACTGAGGAAGAAGCAGAGTCAGTGTCACCATGCTAGCAGCTAATGTACAGTGTGCAGGAGGAGAGTTCGCACCGGGCCGGTACCGTGAGGGGAAAAGGGGGTTGTGGGCGGGGCTTTAACCCTGCTCATCCGTCGCCTCGCCCGCCGTGTGAAGCGCAGCGGAAGCTTCGCCGTTGCAGCGTGACGTGGGCTCAGCCGCCTGCGGCTGCGGCTCCTCGGCTGGGGCCACCACCGCCTGTTGGCTCTTCTCCTCTCCGGCGGCGTCAGGAGCGCCGTCGGGCCCGGCCGCAGACGGAGGCGCTGAGGGGTTGGCGGAGATCTGGGGAGCCGTGGGGTCGGCAGCTGCTGCGGGGACGACGGCCTTCGAGTCGCTCTGCTCAGGCGCTCTTAGTCTCTTCATGATGGTGGTGACTCGCACAGCTTTCTGTAAGAGGATAAGAGGAAGAATGGGAATTTTAACACACACAAACACACACACACACACACACACACACACACACACAAAAAATAAAAAAAATAATAAAAAAAATATATATATATATATATATATATATATATATATATATATATATATATATATATATATATATATTTTTATCTGTTCTGTCAGAGAGTGTGACACACAG